ATTGTTATCTTTTTTGTGTGTTAGAATTTGAGCATCAAGTTGATTGAAAGAATTATTGATAAAAGTAATCGAGGAAACATGAGAATAAAGCAACCAACCAGTTTACACATAAAGATAGAAAGTTTTGCATTTTCAATAACATTTATGGAAAAAATAAAATTATAAATGGAAAGGGACTTGTTGAAAACCACTTACAGTTACATTAAAGCAAGAGAAAGGCACAAGAGTGACCTGTCTAAGGAAATACAGATGACCAGACACAGAGCTGTTAGCACACAGATGCCTGGTGTCAAATAACAGGCAAAGCCTTGTAATTTTATTTTATTTTTTTCACCCAGGGATATGTTTATTGATTTTTAGAGACAGAGAAAAGGAGAAATAGAGAGCAATGTGAAAGAGATATAAGGATGGGCTGCCTCCTGCACGTGTCCCGACCTGCGATACCCCAACCAATGGAGCCACAGAGCCAGGGCCAAAGACCTGTAATTTTAAACCACTACTTCAGAAAAATTAGAACAAGGAAAACATCATCAGCCCTGTTCTGTCATCTGCAGGTTACATATTGGTGCATGGCCTCCCTCTGCCTACGGGCATTTGGATAGTTGAGCTCCTGCTGAGTGTGCTGAGTATTTAACAACATTAACACAGGAAACTCATGGATCCTAGATAAAAGGAAGGAGGTGGAAGAAGTTTGATGACATAACTTCTCCAATAGGCAACACCATATTTCAAAATTAATAATCAGACATAAAAATCCTTTGAAATAAAAAATAAATTAAAATTTCATATTGTAGCCAGATTGGGGCAAGAGGCAAATGTTAGGAAGAGAATAGGAAAGGAAAATGAAGAAGGAAGAAAGGTCAATAATACCGGCCCCAACATATGACAGAACAAGGAGTAAAGAAACTAAGAGCATTGGCTCTGGCGTCCTGACTCTCTACCAGGAGTTTTCCCACCTACAAAGGGCACACGATAATAGTCCCGACTTCATGGAGCACGTTTGGAAGGATTATATTCACTAATAGACAGGAAGTTAGCATGAACTGTAAGCTGTTTTTATTGCCATGTCAATTTGGGGGATAATGTTCACTCTTTTAATTAAAAAAAAAATGGTTAAAATCAATGCTGTCTCATAACCAGAGTGACAGGAAAGGTGAGGGCCTCAGGAGCACCTGGAACAGACAGGGAGGCCATCAGGAGCCCCTCCTCTCTCTCCGGGCTGCCTCTTCTCAGGGGTCCCCTCTTTCCTCTGACATAGCTTTCTCCATGTGGCGGAAATGGCCAACTTTGTGAATATCCTCAGGGCTGGGCGCTCACGATCCTGGCTCTCTGGCTGGCGGGCATAGAGAGTGTCCTGGGAGTTAGGTCATCCGGCTGGGAAAGGGTCTATTCTGGCCTGAACCAGCCTATCATGTGCCCTTCCTGGTCCTTGTGGCCTGGGAGATTGGGTGCTATGAGGAATGGCCAGCCCGTCCTGCCTCTATGGCCAGTAATGGAGAGGTAATATGAGGAGGCCCCTGCAGAAGCTCATGGGCCTGGGGAAAAGAGTTCCCAAAGAAAGGAAGTTTCCATCCCTAACTTCTTTTTGCGATGGGAAGAAGGGAGCATGGAGCTGACAGAAGCCGATAGGTAGATGGGATGCAGAAGGGAGGGAGCGGGTAGGGAAAGAGTGAGATTGGACAGACGGAGCTTTGCTCATTTTGTGAAGGAGCAAATGTTGATGCCTTGAGGAAGGAACGCCCTACACTTTGGCGTGGAAGCTCCCTGTGGAGTCCTGGGAATGTCAGTGCTAAGGGTAGTTTGTCCCCTGTTCACAGGGGACAGGTACTGGAACCTGTTCCCTGGATTGCATGCCATTCAGTCCACCGTGTGCTTCCAGCCTCTGGTCTTTGTGATCCACCACAAAGATTTTCGTTCTGTATTGGGGATGTCTGTGCTATGAAGGGCAATTTTTAAAAACGAAGAATCACAGTCACTTCTAACTGCATCTAAGACTGCAAAGGGAAAAATCCCTCTTATGGACGGTATCCATCTCTCTATGCTATATATTTTCCTTTTTGTCATCGTTGCTGTTGTTTGATTTTTCCTGAGGAATGTAATGTGCTTCAGACTATATTCTAAATCTCATTTAAAAAGTGTTAAATCAAGAAAGTCTGCCAGCTCCCTCCCTTTGTTTTCTCTCCATGTCGGACTGCTCTGGCAAAGGAGAGTAATATTACCTTACCATGTAAAACATGGCTAATGGCTTTAAAAGAATTCCCCTGCAACTGAATAATGGGCTGCCAAAAATATTCTTGGTGCCAAAGGATCTGGATATGTCTGTTCCATTTATTGTGCGTTTCTCCTTTCATCATGACTAAGTGCTCACAAAAGACATAAAGACTTAACCCTCTAGGGTATGTGCCCTTTGAGGGCAGAAACCATATTTTAATATATTCAGTTTGGCACTTAACATATTGCGATGATTGTCAGATTATCAATAGCAAGCACTGATGGATGCCTGTGGGACGTAGGATGCTCAAATTATCAATTAAATTGATTTCTAATGACTAGAATGAAGTTGTTCCATTGTCTGTGTTATGCTCGGTTGGGTGGCTTAAATGTTTATTCTAAGGACTTCTGGAAATCTTGCACCAAACACTTATAACTTATTCGGCCTGCATGAATAAGTTTACGTTTCTCCGCAATAAGATAGAACCTATTTCTTAATGAAAGCATCATGTTCTAAAAGCCTGAAAGTGCAGTATAGCAAAATCATTTATTTTTGTTTTACTTTGGTAATAAATCTAGTCAGTTCAAAAGAGGTTTTCTTAAAAGTTTTGCTTAAAAATTAATTTAGGGACATACTGAAGAAAACCTAGGAATATGCAAATGTAGAAAAATTTAAAAGGTGCTTTGTTTCTTACTGAAAGTAAGAAACGTCAAGAAAAGTAGCATCTAAACCCACTCCGCACCCACCTTCTCCTGGAGCCTTCCCACTTGGTCTGTGCTCAGAATGTCTGGTTCTCACTTGGCAGGAGACTCAATCTCTCCTGCCTCTTAATTTGGGCCAGGCAGTTGCCAGCTGCCCTGGAATACAATGTGATTTCTGAGTCAGGTATGTATTCTTCGCCAGTCTCTTAATTGCTAGGCTCTTAGGGACTAGAATAATGATCTTCCAAGAAATCCTGAAATAGAGATTCTTAATTGTTTTGCATGTGACTCACATCATAGATAACATTCATATGGGGTACACTCACCTGGGCTCAGAGCCATGAGAAAATCTTGAGTTGATTAACTAAAATTCCATATCATTTACTCCTGTTCAGCAAAGTGTATTGGAATTTAGTTAGATAAGAGTGACTTGATCCAAGAAGATAAACCTGCATCTGCTTTAAATGTGTGTGTGTTTGTCTAATTCATATCTGATATTTAGTCTTTTATTATTTATGAATAATTACCTAAAATGCTCTATCATAACCAAGGAGTATGGGGAAGCAGCATGTTTGTGCTCTCTTGGGAATGGTTGAGTCCTCAAAAAGGAAACTACTACTGCATAATCTCCCTTCTTTCCAGAAAGTCTGTCTTATGTTTCGGAGACATTGAGTGGCCACCTGATAATAAAGCCTGTGAGGCAGAGTTCTCAAGAAAGACACATGAGCACCATTCTAGTTCATTGTGACTTTAGGAAAAGAAGCAGAGTACCTTTTCAGCTGACCCTGGAGACCAGTGCTAAATCTACCACTTCCTGTTTGCAGAACTAAGTTGTACAGAAAGGCAGTAATTATCTGCTGTGATTATCAAGCAACTAGTACAAAGCACAACATATAAATTTAGGGATACATGAGTACTTACTTGAAATAGTAACTGAAATTAAAATACTTTTGCAACTGATTGGACATCATGAAAATGTAAAACTATGGGTTAAGCATAAATCCTTAATTTTTATATAAAAATATTTTTTATATTCAGTTGTGTTTTGTGGAGTTGGATATACTACTCTTCAAATCATGCCACTTGAAATAGCATTTCTTCATTCAGGATGTTGCTGGTTAAAATATTTAGCTTAAAATATTAAATGTTAATCCTTTGTTTCATTAATGAGATAGAGGCATGGGGTATAATGAGTTGAAAATTCAGAATGTTGTTTGGGGAAGAAAGAGTTTTACTCCACCCTTCAGGTTCCCTGGCTGGTCTAATGAGCATAATATAAACTAACAGGAGAAAAAACAATTCAATTTAATAAATATGGGCATTCCAAAGATATGAGGCTCCCAGATAGGCAATTGGTATAGGCCTGAGAGTTCACAGGGTGGGAAAGCCATTCATGGGGAGCAGGGAAAAGAAAATGTCAGAGAAATCTTTCGATGTAAAAAGTTCTCTTTGGTCTAGCTCTTTTTCTGGTAGGTACCTGTATCTAAACTATTTTAGGCAGTGAAGGGGGAGGTAAAAAGAAAAACTTCCTATATCCTCCGTTTCTTACAAATAATTAGCCTAAAATTATCCTCATGATAAAGAGACACAATTGGGGTGGCAAATTTTGCTTCCCTACAGTGTCCTCTAGCTTTCAATATGCTACACAGAAGTAAAAGTTGAATTTTAGAGAGTACAGGTTACAATAAACTGTTTAATTATTTTTAACAGGAGAGATTTGCTCATAATATTCTGAACCAAACACAGATATTTAGCGAATGAGTTAGTGGGTACTGCCTTACCACAGGTAAGTGAGGTACAGATTTGTCCCATTAACTCCGGAGGTAGAATGCTCTCTAAAAGGCCATTTGGAGACTAGGAGAAAGCAGTGATGCATCCTAGGGGAAACAAAGTCTCCACTTAAATTTAAAACAAATTTCAAATTTTAAAACAAATGCCTAGCACAGTGTGAAAACACACACATACACACACACACAAACACACACACAAACAAAAACAACAAAAACAAACAAAAAATCCTAAACAAATAAGACAAAGCTATCAGAATACTTGATGTGCACTAATTATGTTCCTTTCTTCTCTTGCAGGCTCAACGTGGGAAAAGACATTTCGGCAGATTGGCTTTGAAAGGTAAGCAGCATTTAGCCTGTCTCCACTTTTAGCATACTAATGTTCTATTTTACTCCAAGTACTTTATGGATTATAAATCAGTGGTATTGCTACCACTACTTCAGTAAGTGAGTGAGTTTGTGCCATTGAGTAAGTCATTGTTTTGCTCCTTGAGACTTGGTTTCTTTATAAAGTAGAGCTTTGCATTATAAAATCCTTGCCTGAATACAGAGTGAACTTGAAGATTAAATGGAGCAACTTTTTGGAAAACACTTCTTAAACTGCAAAACATTATAAAAGGTAAGTTGTACAGTTAGACAATTATGAATTGGAGTCTACTTTCTTATAGCTTTTTCACCTCAACTGTTAGTTCTATAGTTGAGAAATTTATATTTATATTGATGCCTTTCCAATTATGAAAATGGTTAAATATTAGCTCTAAGTGAAAGGCTGAGATCACATCACTCCTAAGCATTTCTCTTGTCAGTGGAAATTGAGCTGATTGCAAAGAAAGAATTCCAAACACCCACACATGGAGACTGTGGTGTGGTGGCCTTGTTTATTTCTGAAGTAATATCAAAAGAGTCTTCTTCCTGGCTGCCTAAGATCCCATGGCTGTCTGTACTGCCATGGAAAAAGGACAACCATGTCTTCGACAAGGCCAAGGCCAGTGCCCACAGTTTCTGCCTCATAGTCCTTCAGAGCCTGCACAAGAGCTGCGTGGTTGGTCAGTGCTCCTGGGTTGGAGAGCATGCGGTCCAAAGGCTGAGAGTGCAGATCACTGAGCGAGGGAGAATAAGCTTCTTTGTTCACTTGGAATTATGTACTCTCAGGCTTGGGAGGAACCAGAAGCTTTTTCAAATTAACCAATCAGCTTCCCAAACTGTGTGTGTTGAGGGAGGAGGGAAGATGGAGGAGGCTTAATTGGCTCTGCGCCCTCCCTCCTGCCCCTCAGCCAATGATTTTTTTCCAGGTTAGACTGACAGGCCTGTACGTTTAAGTACCGCCATCTTGTGATATTGCTCAAGTTCTTATTTCCCCCCTGCCTAGTTTTAATGACTAAGATTTTTACACCAAACCACGCTGAATTCTTTAATATAGGTCTCTTCTGTTTTGCGTTGTTTCATTGTTTCTATTCTGATATCTCTGAGGACAGTCCCAAATCTCAAGTTTTATTGGCTGTTCTCATATTATGAATATTTTAAATAAATCCAGACAGTATAAACTCCATATTATAGTTTCTCCCTAACATTTGTATTTTTCCAAATAGATGTACAAGTCAAACTATTCTTAAGGAATCTATTAAGTGATACGCTTTGTTTTTAAACTGTCATCTCAGTTTGGTGATCATCATGATTTTTAGATATCATGCTAAAATGTCATCCTGTGACTTTCCATGTTGCCCTATGATTTTTCATTTAAGGGTAGAGAGAATTCTCTGCATTACATCAACTCTCTTAAAATACAGAGCAGATATTGATCTGTGGGGTTATGGTGCAATTATTATTGCAGAGACTGTATTGAGCAGTGCTGTCAAATATGGCTCTGCTTTTTTCTTCTCAAGTTTAACCTCTTCTTTGCCTTAAAGGGAATTTCAATTATATCTTAAATGAAGCTCTCCGGTTCTTCGGAGCAGTTGTAAGGGATATTGATCCTTTCATTGCTATGTCCTTTGAAGTTTGCTAGCAGATTATTTTAAAGTGGCCACATTTAAAGGAAATGCAGTGACTGAGTCAGCTAAAGCCTCCCCACTTTCTGCAAGGATGGAAAGCAAAGGTGTCTTCTGTTGTACATGTTGTCACTGAAAGGAAGACCAAGGGATCTGCCCCACTCCCCACTTCTTGCAGTCAGTAATGCTTGCCATGAGCTGGTGTTTAGCCATTCACTTTCTGGAAACTTAGTGAGCATTGCTTCAGAATTAATACACATTGTCACAATTTATGTGGCTGAATTCATGACAGTAGGTTATGTTCACCTTGAAAAAAATCATCCTAGTCCCCGGTGAAGTATATCAGGAATTTACAGAGGAAGGATATAAATTCCTATATCTTTGTTGTTGCCACTTCTAACATTCCCACCCACTCCTGGCGCTCCAATATTGATATCTACACACACACACACACACACACACACAGACTCAGTTGTATTGTGTTATTTTATTTTTATTGTAAAATATGTGCCTAACATATTTTTATTTCAATTAGAAAGCTTCACTCTCTGTGCAGATTTTCCAAGCTTACAAGTATAAATATTTCCAAATCATATTAATTAATTGTGGTTAAGGCAATGCAGGTGGGCATTGCTTTGTAAATTCATCAGCTCTCAGTATGTTCTGAACAAGTGTGTCTGCTAGGGAATGGCCCAATCTCCAGTGGTTTTTGTTTGTTTGTTTGTTTTTTCTCACTCGTGTGAAATCTGATGAGGAGACTGGACAGCTCTGCAGAGCAGCCTCTACCTGGTGTGTCACTGTTTGGCTTTAATCTGTCACACTTCTCTCTCAACATGAGGTTTCTGAGTTTGCCTGAGGAGGAGAGGAGAGGTGGGAGAATTACACCCTGATGCTTGTTTCTACCTTGCAGTGGCAGCTCACAGTTCCGGGCCCACAGCAAGTCACCTTGCCAATTTGCAGGGAGGGAGAGATATCATTCTGCCACGTATGCAGGAAGGGGCAAGAAGTAGAAGGTCAGGAAGCTGTAGTAGAATCTATCACCTAAGCTTTGAGGAAGGCCTGCACGTGGTTTTCTCTTACCAAAGCTGCACTTTGCATTTGAGACAAACTGTGTGAGCAAGTACATAGATAGGCTTATGCATAGTTGCCTGCCACCAGAAATACAGGTTTCTGCTTTCTGGGAAATCTTATTGCTGCCTACTTAAAAATAACCATCTTCTACTGATCTCTCATCCATTTGTAGTGAAAAAAGCAATGAAGTTATTCCTAATGAATCTATGTAAGCAGCACAGTACCTCAGATCATATCACTGTTAACAATATTGTATCTGATTCTATTTGATACTCTACTTGGATTGTGGAATGAAATATTTTGCCTCTTTGAAGAATATGTTAAAATATAAATCACCCTGAAAACAGCCTGCTCTGGGAAAACACAAATATTTACTCCTAGGACCCCCATCTCCTGTCCCCAGCCCTCTTGTGTAGAGATAATTCAAAAGCTGTGGCCTTGTCTTTAGGGAGTGGAAAAGCTTTCCACAGCCTGTTGTTGGACTTGTCTCCCTGCCTCTATATTGTGGGGAGCTGCCCCCCACCCCCCATGCTTCAAGCTTTAGACATAATTGCCTTTGTGGAAACTTTCAGGTTGACTTACATCTAGGATCCCACTTCTTCTTGTCAGATTTTTCCTCCCACATTTTTCTGTTGCGGTACTGGACATATGGTATTGAAACTTTCCTCCTGTGTTTCTATTCCTTTGGGGCTGTGTTGATCCCCTGACATTACCTGGCATGTGCTAGCTAATCAGACATTTGGAGGGTGCTTGATTGAGTTCTTGATGGGACATGTATGCACATATGGTTGGAGCGTGCTTGTGAAAGAGTGGGCCGCTGAGGAAGGCAAGAGCCCAGGGACCGCCATCTCTTCATCATCACGTTGCAAGCACTGGTAGGAAGATGGGCCGTTGTAGCCAGAGCTGGCTCATCCCTGACAGAGTAGGAAGGAAGACATGGCTCTACTCTGTGTCAGTGTGAACAATTGTTTAATTCAATAACCCTCATATCAACCATAGAGTCTTCCTGAATCTCTCTTCTCAAACTACGGAGTCTAATGTTCCGAGTTTGACACCAGCTACTCTCTATGACAGGATCCCTGTGGGATCAAGAACCTGATGAGGAGTTCTAGACCAGAATCAAACCTGAGACCCTTTGGCCCACAGGCTGACGCTCTATCCACTCAGCCAAACTGGCTAGGGCCATAATCTTGAATGTACTTGCTAGCGTCTTATAGAATGGGGCAACAGTAGATGTGCGGTTGTGAGTACACAAAAGACAGGGTTTATTCTTGTATTATTGTTTATTAATGATTGTATTCTTTTCCATGTGGACAACTGTAAACCTACTTTTGCTCCACCTTGTATGTTGGACCAATGCTTCTGAGGGCAGGGTATATGTCTTACCAACTTTTGACCTCTAGTGCCAACCCAGGGATTGGCAAATCATAGGCATTAAATAAATGTTTGATAAATAAATGGCATTTAAAGTAAATATTGCTGTCATTTCTCTGTTGGCCCAGCCCCTACTTTCATCGAATATGCTTTTTTATTTTGGATAAATTTTAGTTTCTATTGGCCTTTTCACTTGGAGGATGAATAGATTCCTTGGGAAATTTAAGGCCAATTATTAAATTGTATATCCTCCAGCTTTATGAATAATTCACAAGCTGTGTAATTGAAATGCAGGCTGTCTTTTTAGGTAATGTTACATAAAGTGTAGAGAAATAATGAAAAAGCTAGACTCCTATATTGCTTTCATGATATACCTTCCTGTATGAAATCTTATGTCTGATAAATAAGATGGTTAATAGAAACCAATCGCGATAGAAACAAAGATATTCATTTCTATAGTTACTGCTATGTTTTTCTGAAGTTTTTAAGTTAAAGTTATGTGTCTGTAGCATAAAAAAGGATAATTTGAATATATATTCATTTGGATCAAGACAAGTATTTTTTTATATTGCCTTTCTGAGAAGTATACAGAAAGGAAAAAATAAAACATTACCACAATCTCACCATTATTATAACCTTGTGGTTTATGAAGTTAAATAAAGAAAATCTTAGTTGGGATTTAGTCATGTGTTGTCAGACCTGTAGCTTATACATCTACAGTATTTTTGCATGTGGAGGTTCACAGTGCAGGTTTTTCATTTAATGATTTCCCCAGTTGTTGTGTTGGCTTCCTGAAAGCTGAGCTTCTAAATGCTTTAATTCTTTCAGGCTGCATATGAATATTCCTGGAAACGTTAGCAAACTACTTTGAAATTATGATATAACATTTTTGTCACAGTCATTTATA